GGAGATGGGAGGGAGGGAGGAGATGGGAGGAAAGGAGGAGATAGGAGAGAAGGAGGAGGAGATGGGAGGGAGGGAGGAGGGAGGGAGGAAGGGAGGGAAGAGATGGGAGGGAGGGAGGTAGGAGGAGATGGGAGGGAGGAGGGGAAGGGAAGTGAAAGAGGGAGGATATGTGGAGGGAGAAGGGAGGGGGGCAAACAGGAAGGGGACTGAGGAGGACACAGGGAGGAAGGCAGGAACTAACCCTTCCTGAAGATGTGCCAAGGGCTGAGGCAGGTGCTTTACATATTTTAGTGCCCTCCCATGTTACAGATGGGGAAACTGAGGCTGAGAGAAACTCAGATATTATATATTCTATGAACGTGACAGAGCTGGGTGTGAACCAATGTCAGACCTCCTCCTCTGTCACCATGGCGCCCGGCTAACTCACAGAGGAGTCCCAGTATTGGTGGTGCCACTTTTCAGCCAGCTGGCCTGGCAACTACGAGAGCCTGGGACACAAAGGCCCTTACAACCCTGTGTTGCTTTAAACCACTTATAATCTAGAGGAGGGTGTGGAGGAGGCAGAAGGGCAGGAAGAGGGCAGTGGCTACAGGGTGCCCACCTCTGGCTCACCCAGGGTGGGGGAGATAGGGACGGCTACCAGGGCCCCACCGGTGAGAGGCTGCACATTCTAAAGCACCGGACTTGGCTTCCTGTCACAGGTATTTCCCATAAATACCCATCACCCACACCTCTTTTCTGCCGGAACCTTCTTTTTTTGGCCAGGGAGGGGGCTGCCCAAGGCTCTACACCTCTGGGGCCCATCTGTTTGGCCCCTTCACCACAATTGGTTTGTTAGGTTTATCCCCAAGTCCTCTGGAAAAAGAAAAGCTGATTATAAAACTGTACTCAGCATTATGTTCAATCTAAGAATACAATCTATTCCATGGAGAATACCCCGAGTCTCCACATGCTGCCACAGAGTCCAAATCAAGCATCTCATCAGCAAATCCTGTGCCCTCTGTGAGAGCACACACTCACAGCCAAGGGGCTGCCTGCCCATGGGAGAAGTGGAAGCATTCTCTGGAATACTTTCCCTGGGCCCTTAAAATGGCTTTTGGGATTGGAAAGTCACAGTCTACTTTGCACATATCCTGAAGGTGCTCTCCACCCCTGCAAACACAGAACCTGTAATGTGCTTCCCCTGAGCCACCTTTCCTTCCTTTCCCGTGCCTTCCTTAACTCCTAGGAGCTGGAAGGCACAGTGCAGAGACAAAGAAGAAAAAAAGGCTGTGGGACAGAGGGCTGGGGATGTCACCACAAGGAGGCCAGCTGCACCAAGGGCCACTCTGGGACATTCTGGAGCTGAGCTCGGGAATCCCATGGTGTCCCTGACCCCTTCAGCGGCCAGGAGGAGCTGGCCAGACACTGGGCCCATTTCCTGAGTCTGTGCCCAGACTGGAATCTACTGGGGATAAAAATCGGTCTCTCTGGCCTCACTGGAGGCAGGCAGAGGCCTTTTATTTTTCTCTCTCTACCCCAGACCATGTTGTACAGTAAAACTACCAGTAAGCGCTCTGCAAATCATCAAATGTAATTATCATGTTTATTTGAAGTGAGGTGATGGTAAAGCTGGCCTGGCTGATTTTGGACCAAGTGGCCCATCACGATACCTGAACAAGCAGTTGTGAGGGTGGGCCCGGCACACCCCTGGATGTTTACAGGAGCCCAGCCTGGAGCTGGGTCTGCAAAGCCAGAACTACCACGAGGAGAAGGGCTAGGCTGGAGCAGGACCAGGAGATTAGACCTGACAATCCAGGGGACAGGGAACACACAGCCTTCAGGTGCAGCCAGAACCCGCCAGCAGACCCCAGGCCACCCACGAGGCAGGCCTCACCCGAGAATGACATCTGGTGTCTGAGGTGACCTTTTATTTCCCTAAGTAATAATGCATGCCATCTTTTTAAATAAGAAGTTTTCTAAAGCAAAGAATAAGCATCTACATTTTACAAAAAAAGGAGAAGTAGGGATCCTATAACAAAAAGCAGTTCCTTCTTCCGGAAGGAATTCTGAATCTCAAATAAAGAGAAGATCTTGGGGCCAGGTGTGGTGGCTCACACCTGGAATCCCAGCATTTTGGGAGGCTGAGGTGGGCAGATCACAAGATCAGAAGATCGAGACCATCCTGGCTAATACTGTGAAACTCTGCCTCTACTAAAAATACAAAAATTAGCTGGGCATGGTGGCGCTGCCTGTGGTCCCAGCTACTCGGGAGGCTGAAGCAGGAGAATCACTTGGACCCAGGAGGCGGAGGTTGTGGTGAGGTGAGCTGAGATTGTACTACTGAACTGGTGAGCTGAGATTGTACTACTGAACTCCAGCCTGGACGACAGAGTGAGACTTAGTCTCAAAAAAAAAAAAAAAAAAAAAAGGGAGAAGATCTTTTAATGTTGTTTTTCTTTCTATATAAGAGAAACAGACATTATTATTCAAGACTATCAGTCAATCTGCATATGCTCTTATAAATGCAATGCAATACATATGAATATAATTGATATGGACAAGCTCCACTTTAACTGAAATGTTTCTGCTAATTCTACTGATAGGTTTTTAAATAAGTTTCCTATCTTGTGTACCCATTCAGAAAAGTTTTGCTTGCTCTCAGAAGCATTTGTTTACAGACAGCATTGGCTTTTTTTTTTTTTTTTTTTTTGAGACGGAGTTTCACTCATGTTACCCAGGCTGGAGTGCAATGGCGCGATCTCGGCTCACCGCAGCCTCCGCCTCCTCCTGGGTTCAGGCAATTCTCCTGCCTCAGCCTCCTGAGTAGCTGGGATTACAGGCACGCACCACCATGCCCAGTTAAATTTTTGTATTTTTAGTAGAGACAGGGTTTCACCATGTTGACCAGGATGGTCTCGATCTCTTGACCTCGTGATCCACCCGCCTCGGCCTCCCAAAGTGCTGGGATTACAGGCTTGAGCCACCGCGCCCGGCAAGCTTTTTCTTTGATTCAGAGAAAATGCCCTGTCCAAGTGACACAGTGACATATCACAGCATCCACTAATCAAACAACCTGTCCATTTTAGGCATTTCTCTGCATCATTTATAGCAGTTCACCGTAGACAAAAATGTTTTATCTGAAAAAAGACAATAGAACAGGAGGCTGAAAAAGATACTTTTACAACAAAAACACATTCTAAAAAAAGTGATTTTTGTCTAATTAATTAATTTGGAATTGGAATTTGCTTCTATCACAGACCAGTTACCAGTCCTCAGTCCGTAAAACCAGCACTTCCAGAGGAAGGTTCCAGGCATCACAGTGCACATCAAGAAATATCGGACTTTAAAGCACTCTGAAAATGAATTGATTCAGAGAAATAATATAGAATATATTAACTGCTGAATTCTACTGGTGACAGAATGAGTTGAGGCTAGTATAATTTAGAATAACCTTAAAAACAGAAAAAAACAGATACATTTTCAAAAGTGTTCCAAAAGAAAAACACTGTACTTGAAGGTTTTCTCGTAGTGCTGAAGGCTCACACTAGTGTATTTCCAGAAGCGACAGTTTTAATAGTCATATTGGAGATGCCTGGGGACCTCTGAGCCATGGGTTGCTCCCCTAAGCTAAACTGCAGTAAACCCTAAGCTCCTCTAGAAGTAATATCTATTTACATGTGGAGATTTCAAATTCTCAGGTATACATGAGTGTATTTATGATTAGGCCCAGACCTGTGAAGACAAAAACGGATAGTTTTAGACCTTTAGTTAACAACTTATAAATCTTGAGCTTAAAGAGATAAAGTTAGTCTATTTACACACATAAATGGGCATACGTATATGTGTGTATACACACACACACACACACACACACACACACACACACACTCCATCCAAAACAGTTTGCTCATGTGCCTTAGAAGGATAACACTCTACTCCTAGCAACTGAAAAGTGCTTCTTTGGACCTGCTCCCCCTCCTCCCTTGGTTAATCGTCTGTGGGGCCTCTGCAGCCTCCTTACTAGGGCCTGGCTACTCTCCCAGATGCCACTTGAACCCATACAGCTCACTGTGTATATTAATATGACTTACTCATTTAGGACACTCTTACCCAGGAAGATGAACTCCAAGGTTACCTTCTTTATTTGTTTCAGGAATTTTGCAAAAATCCTTTTCTCTATTTATCCTAACAGAGTATTCAACTTATCTTCTTTAGAAAATACACCCACATCTCAGGACAATACAGAGCATCAAATGACTATTTAGTTTTGAAGAGTCTGTTTGAAACTCTCCCCCAACCCTGTGTCCAGCAATCCTAAAACTATATGCCACAATTTGTCCAATCCTAATTAAGTGCCCCCCAACAAAGACCTGACTTAAACCAGACCAAAAAAAGCTCATGCATGCCTTTGCCCTCCCCTTCTGAGATGCCACTACGCCTCTACCAGTTCTTGATGTTCCACACTGAGGCAAGCAATAAACTTAGCTTCGCTGTATAAATGGTGTTTTTTTGTTTTTGTTTTAAAACAAAGACACAGTCTTGCTCTACTGCCCAGGCTGGAGTGCAGTGGAATGATCTCAGCTCACTGCAACCTCTGCCTCCTGGGTTCAAGCGATTCTCCTGCCTCAGCCTCCCAAATAGCTGGGACTACAGGTGCATGCTACCACACCTGGCTAATTTTTGTATTTTTAGTAGGACCAGGGTTTCACCATGTTGCCCAGGCTGGTCTTGAACTCCTGAGCTCAAGTGATCCGCCCAACTTGGCTTCCCAAAGTGCTACAATTACAGGTATGAACCACCATGCCTGGCCTAAACAGGTGATTTGGGCAGTATTTTAGGGGAGCCAACCCTCATTTAGGTTATGAAGCTCTCTTTGAGAATTTAATGAAAGCCATGAGGGCAAAATGCATATGCCCCAAATCTGGCATGTAATTTCAGGGGCTTCACTTCCAAGATTCAGCAATAGAAAAATTAAAAAGAAAAAAGTAGCAATTTCAGGGGCTTCACAGCCTCCTGGATCTGTGACCCTTGTCATCACAAGGTCAATAATCGTAATCAGAACCCTAACTATAGGAGAAGAGACTTGTTATCTGTGGTTTGCCAAAAACTAGAATCACAACAGTCAGACTTTTAGCGTCAAAAGGAAGATTCTGGATTATCCAGCCTAACTATTTCCTCAACTAAAGGCAGCTGCACAGTTGCCGAGTCTGTGCTAGAATACCTGCATTGATGGAGCACTCACTACCTCTCCATGCAACTCATTCCTTCTGTGACTGTGGGCAGAGTGGAAATGGGAGCTCGGTGTGGCTGAGCAGGCCCATCTGAGCTTAGCCTTCCCTCTGCTTCAGAAGGCCCATCACACCCCCTCTCTTCTCTCACACACAGGAAAACAGAAAAGCATCTCTTACTCTGAGGGTATGATCCCATGATCCTGAGCAGAAAGCAGTCCCATCTGGGGAAACTCGTAGAGTGCTAACACGGTTTTCATGTCCAAACAGGATGGAGACCCGAGACCCCTTGAGAACGTCCCAGACGTTGATAGTGTAATCGTTGTATCCAGCAAACAGCAGGCGACCTTGAAGCAGGGTGAGATGATAGCTGTTAAGACAATTCCTTGCTTCCTGTTTCTCATTTCATGACTCACTCCCTCACTCATTTAGTAAGCGGTGATTTAGGTACACTGAGTCCCAAGCACTGTGTTTTGCCTTGAGGATTGAAAGGGGAGAAAGCACAGTCACTACCCGCAGTGGAGGATGTGGGGCTGAGAAGAACAGATCACTGTAGCATCCCATGGTAACAGCCATAATGCAGGTGCTTTACACACGTCAAGTGCTATGGGACCAGAGAGGAAGGGGGATCGAGGAGGGCACTGCAGACACAAGTAAAATATTTGTAGTCATCTGGTCGTTAATAACTTGTAAAACTTATTTAAAGGGAGAAAATTAATGTGACATTTGAGTTGGCTCTTGAGGGTTGTATAGGAGTCTGTCAAGCAGAGAAGGCAGGGAAGAGAAGTTCCAGGCAGAAGGAACATCATGTGCAGTAGTATAGGATGTGTCTGGGAAAATGGTGTGGTCCAGGTAGCCAGCCTGTTAGCTCTCACTTAAGTCTCTATTTTTTCTTTCTTTTTTTGACATGATACTTCCGGAGCTATGCTTTAATTTTCACTGGCAACTTCCCACAAAGGAGCCATGAGCTTCAGGGCACTGAGAAGGGTTTTTTTTTTTCTTTGGGTCAGAGTCTTGCTCTGTCACCCAGGTTGGAGTGCAGGTGGCATGATCGCAGCTCACTGCAACCTCCATTTCCCAGGTTCAAGTGATTCTCCTGCCTCAGCCTCCCGAGTAGCTGGGATTACAGACGTGCACCACCACGCCCAGCTAATTTTTATATTTTTAGTAGAGACAAGGTTTCACCATGTTGGCCAGGCTGGTTTCAAACTCCTGACCTCAAGTGATCGCCTGCCTTGGCCTCCCAAAGTGCACGGATTACAGGCGCAAGCCACCGTGTCTGGCCCCAGAAGGGACTCCTGCTTCACCTCCACCTTAGAGAAACATTCCCTTTGGGATCTGAAGAGAAGCAAAGGCTGGAGAGAAAAATGCCTGAGCATTGCAGATGCGAATTTCTGACACTTCATTGTCTTGAAGCACAGCATTAGGTGGGTGTACAGCCTTCATTTCCCCTGCAGGGAATGGAGCTAGGGGAAGCTGCCTGGGGCAGGGCAAAGTGGGAGGTCAGAAGTTCAGAGAAGAAAAACTGGTGCAAATGTGGAGGAGGTCCACGGGAAGCTCAGTTGACGAAAAGCCTGATGGAGTGCTAGTTTCATTCTGGTCCTGTCTTACAGTCCTGGGAAAAGTCTGTGAAATAAAATCTTACCACTGAGAGAGAAGTCCACGCTGGATGCTCCAAATATGATACTCTCTTTGGAATAGATGGCAACCTCCCTGTCTGCCCGCAGGTCATAGAGGCGACACTGGGGTGAAAATAAAGAAAGAAGCACTTACTTCTGGCTCCAGTTTGGTGACACGATGATCACAGGGCTACAGGTAGGTGCCAGTGACTTGTGTCATTTAAAGGATGAAGGAAAAACTTCTTAGTTTTCCCTGTGGTTATTTCCTCCTTTAGTCCCGGTTCCTATTAATTTCTATGAGTCAGTAAAGAGTCCCAATTCCTAGTAATCTCTATGAGTCAGTAAAGAGTCAGCAGAAAAACAGCAAATACAGCAAATTTCTTCAGGTATAAAAACAAAATTAGACCCCACTTTTTTTTCTGATAAAGGTCCTATGTTCATTATAGAAGATTTGAAAATATTCAGAAATGTATACAGAAGGAAATGAAGGCCACCCTAAATCCTACAGGTATTTACTAATTCTGAACTGTTTCCTTCAGTCCTATTTCTATTTGATGTGTGTATCTGAATGGGCTGGATGTTTCATTTTTGCTTCTATTAACATTAGGTTATATGTACTTTCTCATAACATTAAAAGGAAACTTCAAAAAAGATGATTGACATGGTTACTGAATATATCAGAATCTATTCAGCCTAACCCTGTTTCTGTTGTGTCTAATTTTTCTCTTTCATAAACAATATTATAATAACTATTCTTCTCTAAAAATCTTTACATGTGTTTCTGGTATTTTCTGTTAGACACAGTGAACCCCAAGTTTTTCTTCAAAGAATCAGCATGTCAGTATGTTCAGCTCTCTTATTCTTTAATTCTCCATTTTAAAGTTTATTTTCCTTGTAGTTTCAATAAACAAACTTTTCCACCAGTTCTAATCAGTAGTTCACATCTGTTCCCCCAGTCCCCTGCCCTATCCAGACTCATCCCAGTCACCTGCTCTGGCCACCTGCTTTGACCCCTAGTTACCTGTCCTGACCTGCCCGTAACTGTCCTTCCTGCCAAACCACCCAGCCCACCACTCCGGCTCATACCCCTGGGTCCCTTTAAAACAGCCAATCGGAATTAGACTAGACTGTGCTGTCTAACCCTAGCCAATAGGGGAACCACACAGCAGTAAGGGTGACTACTGTCAGGCATAAGTACCCCTTCCCCTCCCTTGTCCAGGTGTGTGTTTGCCATTGTTCCAACTGTGAGCTGCACCCTTCTATAGAAGTAAATTGTCTTGCTGAGGAAATTTATATTCTAGTGCTACTTCCTTTGTGGCACCAAAAATTTATACATAACATTTTCCTTAGACTAGGTGAGAAACAGAATCCTTGGAAGAGTTATCAGGAAATAGCATGACCAGATCAGAAGTAGAGATGTTTTGTTTTGTTTTATTTTGAGATGGAATTTTCCTCTTGTTACCCAGGCTAGAGTGCAATGGCGCAATCTCGTCTCACTGTAACCTCCGCCTCCCAGGTTCAAACGATTCTCCTGTATCAGCCTCTCGAGTAGCTGGGATTACAGGTGCCTACCACCATGCTCAGCTAATTTTTGAATTTTTAGTGGAGACAAGGTTTCACCACATTGACCAGACTGTTCTTGAACTCCTGACCTCAGGTGATCCACCTACCTTGGCCTCCCAAAGTGTTGTGATTACAGGCATCAGCTATCTATCACACCTGACCTATTTAATTTTTTAATTTTTTACCTTTTTTTTGTCTGTTTTTGTTTTTTGAGATGGAGTCTTGCTCTGCTGCCCAGGCTGGAGTGCAGTGGTGCCACCTCTGCTCACTGAAACCTCTGCCTCCTGGGTTCAAGCAATTCTCCCACCTCAGCCTCCCAATTAGCTGGGATTACGGGAGCCTGCCACCATGCCCAGCTAATTTTTGCATTTTTGCTGAGACGGGGTTTCACCATGTTGGCCAGTCTGGTCTAGAACTCCTAATCTCAAGTGATCTACCTGCCTTGGCTTCCCACAGTGCTGGGATTACAGGTGCCAGCCACCGTGCCCGGCCACGTAGAGATGTTTTCAAGCTCTTGTTTCCTATGGCAAATCTGCCCTCCAGGAGGGTGGTGCCAACTATCCTGACCCCAGGTATGTTCCAGGCTCCTCACCAACCCAACCTCTGGGCATTTCTTTGCTAATCCAAGTGGCAAAGTGGCAAAATGGGCATCCGATCACTTAAAACATGCATTTCTTGGATTATGGGTGACTCTGAAAACATTTTCAGGTGTTTACTTGCCATTTTGGATGTACTGCTTTGTAAATGACCTACATTTTACTCTCTTCTTTAATTGGAGTGTTCATTTTACTGCTATGCAACCCCATTCATAACTACAGGATTTTAACTTGGCCTGTACTATATATGGCAAGAATTTTTCCAAGATATAGTCCCTTATATTTTGTTAAATATTTTTGACATACAGAAGTTTTAAATTTTCATTATTTCAAAACTCTTGATCTATTCCTCTGTAATTCTTCTATAGCAGCAAATGAGAATGAAAACCATTATTTCATATTTGATATTTTGAGGACAATAAGAAAATATTTTTTCTCTTGAAAATAATTTGGCAATCAGTATCAAAAGCCTTAAAACTGGGTCTATTTATGGCTCAGCAAGTTACATCTGAGAATTCTAAGGAAATGATAAGAGAGGTACAAAAAACACTTATGGCAGTGTTTTTAACAGAAAAAAAAAAAAAACCCTTGAGAAAAGCCAAATACCCCAAAATTGAAGACCAATGTCATGTCCATAACATGGAATACTACCCAATCATTAAGAAAATATAATGGAGAGAAATATTTATCAGCCTGGGAAAATGTTCACATTCTGTTGCTAAGTGAAAAGGCCAAATTATAAAGCATTTTGTTTGTTAAAAAGAAAAAAAGAAAGCAATTCATCCAAGTGTGATTTTTCTTGGGTAAGGAGATCAGGGTAATTTAATATTCCCCCAAATTTTCTTTGATGAATACTCATTACTTCTATAACCATAAAAATAGTTATTTTCTAAAAATAAGTTAGCAGATTTCTCAAATAGGAAAAGCTCTCAATAACTTAGAAACGTACCGTAGCATCATCTGACCCTGAAGCAAAAGCATCTCCACTGGGGTAGTACCTGCAGAGAGAAAGTATGGGTAAAGTACTTTATCTAGGGTGGTGATTTCTGACCCTCAATGACCATCAGAACCATGCTAGGCCCTTGGAATAGAATCTTTATGTGTAGGGACTCAAGCAACATTTGCAGCAGAAGATGGAAGGGGAAGCTCATATATCAGGTCCACTGGCTTCTAGTTGCCTTCCCTGTAAGTGGGGAACAGTGATACTGGTCTTGCAGAGTGAGATAATATGTGTTTATATCAGGCACAGAACACAGAGCTGCAAATACCTGTAAATACAGTTTCCCTTAATCACATACCTAATTCCTAGGCCTTGGCTCAGAGCTCAGGGATAAGAAAGTGGTTATGAGCACAGACACTGAAAATCAGATGCACAAAGCCACATCTGGATATCTGCACTGACCCTTTACTACATGTGATACTTTTGGCAAATGACTTCCTCTTGCCCAGCCTCAGTCTCCTCATCTGAAAAGTGAGAATAATAATGCATATTTTCTGCTGTGAAGATAAAATAAGACAGTTCATGCAAAGAATCTGGCACATTCAATAAATGATGATTATTATATTTCTGTCATTCTCTTCTCAATGATTAGGGGGAAATATGAGTCCTAACTTATAAGCCAGAGGCAGAATGAGAGCAAACGTCTTTAACCCCCTGCACTCTGCCTCACCCAGCTGTGTTTCCCATGCCTTCCATTGTTTCTCCTTTCTTCATCTCTGACCCATGAATCTTGTGTCTTCTACCAGCATCCCTGAGCTGTGGCAGCCTAACTCATTAACTTAGAGATAGATGAAATCTCAGACATTTCACAATTCTTGACATTTCTCTGTCTCTACCATGTCTTCCTTAGTTCCAGTCACCATCATTTCTTTCTTGAACTCAGACAACCACCTCTTAACTGGTTGTCGTAGTTCCATTCTTGTTCCCTACGATGTATTCTCCATACAGCCAGGGATCCTTTTTGTTTGTTTAGTTTCTTTCTTTCTTTTTTTTTTTTTTGATACAGCATCTCACTCTGATGTCTGGGCTAGAGCGCAGTGGCACCATCTCAGCTCACTGCAGCCTCTATCTCCTGGGTTCAACAAATCCTCCCACCTCAGCCTCCTCAGTAGCTTGGGACTACAGGTGCATGCCACCATGCTTGGCTAATTTTTTGTATTTTTTTGCTAGAGACGGTTTCGCCATGTTGCCCAGGCTGGTTTTGAACTCCTGGGCTCAAGCAATCTGCCCACATCAGCTTCCAATAGAACAATCTTTTAAAGGCAAAACCTGATCAGGTTAGCCACCCTTGCCCCTCCCAACTCAAAACTCTCCAGTGACCACCTGGCCTTTTGTTAGGACCCCTAACCTTTCATCTCTGTGCTCTTCCACCAGCTCTTCATATGCCTGGCTCTTTCATCATCCTGGCCTCAATGTAAATGTCACCTTCTCAGTGAGCCTCTCTTTGACCTCTAAGAAATGACCCATCCATCTCCCTGTTTTATTTTTTTCATAGTATTTATCAGTATTTGAAGTTGTATATTTGTTTGTGTTTGGTCTGCTTTGTCTCCTGTGAGAGAGCAGAGACCTTGTTCATCTTGTTCACCAATATATTCCCAGTTCCTAGAACAGTATCTAGCATATAAATACTCAATAAATACTGAATGGATGGATGAAAAATGCTGATTCAACTTAGGGAGGATATTAACTACTCCTAATGCAATTAAATTAAGATTCTCCATGAATTCTGGAACACTGTTCAGTTCCACCACAATCAGCCTTTCTTGCTGGGGAGGCCTCTCTCAGCCAAGTAAACTCAGTCTGGAGGTGGTTCCTGGGCTAAGGATTACCTAAGCCAGGTAATGCTGGTAGAACAGAGAGGTGGCATGAACACTCTACTCACTGACCGGACACTGTTGATGTCAGATTCATGTGTTTCAAAGGCCTGCACACACTGGCCGGAGCGCATGTCCCACACCATGGCTTTCTTGTCACATCCCTACAAATGCAAAATTACCCAGAATTATGGCCACTTTCAGGAATGTCTATAGACAAGGCAGAGTCCCAGTTATATAACAGAAACCATTTATTTCCCATTAGCAAATGGTTGACAACATACTTTACTGAGACTATTTTTACCTGCGGGCACTTTCCTCACTCAGCAAACCCTTAGAAGTCTAGAACCACGTCTCGGGATGGGAGGCAGGAGGGGAGGCACTCAACTTCCTCTTTTAGCTTGTTTTCTTCTTTTGCACATTTCTGAGTGGAGGCAGGCAAACCCTTCTTACCTTCCCCTGAGAATTTCCTTTCCCTTCATTTTTCCTTCTTTTCTCTCTCCTCTTTATACTTACTTCCCTGAGCCCAGAGGGCAAGGCAGGCAGGCAGTGGTGTATGGTGGGACCTTTCTAGCTGTGACATTAATAAATGGCTTGGCAGTGCCCAAATGAAGCAGCCAAGAGTCCCAGCTTTGTCTTGGTATATGGGGTAGCCCTCGGCAAAGCTGGAGAGCCAGGCGCCCCGGGCCATCTGCACACTTAGCAGCACACCAGGCTGGGAACCCGCAAACCAGGGGCCTGTCAGGGTGCTGCCAGCAATGCCCTGGGTGACTTAGGAGAGTCACCTCCCCGGGCATCTGCTTCAACACCTGTAAAGTCAATGCTCTCTTCAGGTTGCTAACAAGACCCAGAGGGTCACAGAGTGAGCATTTTCACATTACCCTATCAAGGCTCTGGGAGCAGTTTGATAAGTTCCTGCAGAGTGGTCATGTTATCAGTTCAAGTAGTAGAATGTGGATTCTCAATAGTCAAATAGCTTAAATGGTCAAACGGCTTAAACAGTCAAAAAGTAATGGCTTCAAATTGGTGTCCAAGTTGTTGGTTTCAACTTGGAGCAGAGGGAGGTGTGTAATGAAGCACGATTACACATCTGAGAAAGGCCCGCTGTGGAAGTTCAGCACCCTGAGTGTCTTTACTGAAAATGTGGGCAAAGAAACCAGAAAGGCTTTCGCTTCTTTAGAGGACACTAAACTGGATATGCTTTAGTGCTCTGAAAGAGACAATATGATCTACAGTAATAGCAGTAATTTTTAAAAAACACGGTGTAGTTAAGGAGAGAGAAATACAGTGATACCAGGCACAGGGACGAAACATCTCCACATGGCCAAATACCCAGGAAGAAAATCAGAGTCCCTGCTAACTACAGCTCACAAAGCCCTGGCCTGGCCCCCGGGATCAATGTGTGGGCAGCCTGGAGCAAAGGTCCCTTATGTGTCCCAGCGGCAAAAGTCACCTGACAGTGTGTGCGTCACTGTCCTGTCTCACCATTCCCTTTGACGGAGGTGAGACAGGACCCCTGGTAAGGTCAGCTGGCCCAGCTCTCTCATTCTCAGGCTGTCCACAGAAATACTCGCCCCTCCCATGTGCACACACACACAGGGCAAACTCTTCCACTGACTGCTTGTACTATCCTGGGGAGGGGAGGTACAAATACGACTGTGCATTATGCCCAACTTATAGAGGATGCCACTTACAGTCAGGCAGCAAAGCTGCAACCCAGGCACCCTGACTCCTAGTCTAGTGCTTCTCTGAGTCTCTGTGGCCCTGTGTGCCAACTCTGAGCTTTCCAAGCCTCTGTTTCTTGCACCCTGTGATGGAAGGGAGGATGGTGGTTGGCATGGGTGGGGTGGGACAGTGCCTCACAGGCCCAAAGCCCTGGTGGCATCACAGCATTGCCTCAGCTCAGCAGCCATCTGAACTGCCGTGCCCTTGTGCACATCTCTGATGCTCTCAGATGCTCACTCTCTGCTATTTGAGGAATGACATTTTAAAATGTGGCTGATATGCAACCTTGAGTTGCAGCACTCATACAGGAGAACATTCCAGATTATTCTGTAGACTGCTAACATCAGTGGCAGAACGGAAGGACACCCTCACAGCCCAGCGCTGAAGCTGCCCGCCAAGACCCCAATGCGGTCACTCTGCAGGAGCTGGGGGTTTAGTGGGGAGTTGAGGAAAATTCCTGCAGCCTCTTCTAGGAAATGCCTAGGCTAATCCATGAATGGACTAGAACTGCCACCATAAGCCTCCCCTGTGGACGGGGGAGCCCGAGGGAGTTTCCGTTGGGTCTTTTACCCCAGACACGAAGGTGTTTCCAGTTTCTGAGGGGGCCAGGTCCAAGCAGAGGACGTCAGCCCCATGTCCATGGAAGCTCTGCAGCAGCTGCCCACTCTCCACGTCCCACAGGGCACATGTGCCATCACCGCTCGCTGTCAGGATCTGCCCACAGAAAAGGACAGGAAGTGTGTGGCTGTGATTATTGCTTCTGCTGGGGGCAGTCAATCAGAGGCTTAATGTTCTGCAGGGAAAGGGCAGACTCTACACACACACACACACACACACACACACACACACACACACACACACACGCAGACACACCTGCTGCATCTGGGTTCATGCACAGAAATCTCTCTCCTGTACCAAGAAGGCAAAAGTGCATTTCCCACACCCTCACAGTCCTTGAGTTATGTGTTTATGTGCCTGTCTCCCTGCAAGGCTGAAATCCTGGCGGCCTCATGGTGGTACCTACAGGGCTCTACACATGCCTGGCTTATAGAAAGTGTTCCATGAGTCTCTGCTGAACAAAACCTTTGATGTCTCCCACTGCTGTGCAGGCCAAACACTTAAAGTGCTTCTTGGATGTTGATGCACCCACATCACTGAGCTGCTTGCTAATACAGAGTCTGGGGTGGGGCCTGAGAGTCTACATTTCTCATAGGCTCCCAGGGGATGCGGAGGCTGGTTGCTGGGCCACACTGCGAGCAGCAGGGGTCTATCCAGCATCTTGTTGGATACATTCTCTGTTGCTGCTTTTCCTGAGCACAGTGCTGCCCAAGGCTTCCCAGGGCCATGGATGGGGGCCAGAGGATACTCATGCATGCATAGGTTCGAGAAACATTTGCTGTGTGCTGGCAGTGTCTGCCAGGCACTCTACTAATGCACGAAGGTTTGCAGAAAGACTGTGTCTCGGTTTCTGTTCTCCCAGAACTCAGTTTAATAGGATTGCCAGTAAGAATGAAACCAACATAATTCCCCATCCCTGTGTTAAACAATTCTGGCACTTGGCCAACTTTCCTGTTACTATGTTAAAACATACTGAGACCAAGTAAAAATAACCTAACTGCTTGCTGCAGGAAATACCTGCTCCTAGGAGAAAACACCATGAATTAGCTGGGCGCGGTGGCTCACGCCTGTAATCCCAGCACTTTGGGAGTCCGAGGTGGGTGGATCACCTGAGGTCAGGAGTTTGAGACTAGCCTGGCCAACCTGGTGAAACCCCGTATCTCTACTAAAATTACAAAAATTAGCTGGGTGTGGTGGTGGGTGCCTGTAATCCCAGATACTCGGGAGGCTAAGGCAGGAGAATCACTTGAACCTGGGAGGCAGAGGTTGCAGTGAGCCAAGATGGCGCCATTGTACTCTAGCCTGGTGACAGAGCAAGACTCAATCTCAAAGAAAAAAAAAAAACACTGAAAAGGACCACGAATCGACTATTGACTAGACAACTTACCAAGATTAACAGCTTCCTCGTGCAGACTCACTTCAAGACTGCTTCCTTGCTGGGCTCACCAATCCAAAGCTAAAACAGCCTTGCAAGATCCACCTTAAAATCACCAAGGCTGGGCCCTGAAATCCTGTAAGTACGCTTCCCTAACTCCTCCATTTTCAGACACTACTAAGATTCTGCCAAGTTGAGCTTCTCCCTTACTGCAGCAGGTCAGATAATCTTAGCTTTGTTGGGTTGCAAGTATTTCTGATGTTCTCTTGGGGAGCTGACATCACCAGTGGACAAGGATCAATTACAATAGCATGAGAAGTGCTGGGATCCAGGTGAGCACACAGGATGGTCCCAAACCCAGTGTGGTGACTTCTGAATTGCTCTTCAAGGAAGAGGGAGAGCTGGTCAGGTGAAGGAAGGGAAGGAGAGGAAGCCTGTCAGCACTAAATGAAAGGTGAATCCGTTCACAGGTGGGGACTCAGCCTGAAGCCAAGAGGGCACTCTGGAAGCTTCTGGGCAGGAAAATGAGAAGAGCAAACATATATTTTAGGAAACTCTGGCAGAGGCCCAAAGAGCCTCTGGATAACTTACAAGTACAAAGGCTGGCCACAGAGTACAGGCACACAGGGGTGCCTGGGGAAAGACATGAGGGCAAGGCTGGAGTTTTGCTTTTTGTCACTGGCAGGGTGTGTGAGCCCTGGGCTCTGGCTGATCATACCTTCCTGGGGTTGGGAGAAAGGCAGTGAGGGCTCTGGGTTCGGGGCCCTCACAGGCCCAGGGGATGGCATCACAGAGTCCTGGAGCCAGCTGGGTACTGACAGTGATGGAGTGGATCTGTAAGGGAGAAGCTCTGAGAGCAGAGCCTCCCTACTCCCCACCTTCTGGCTGCTCCACAGGGCCTGGGTGAGGTGATAAGACTGTGGAGGAAGTGGCTCTTGCAGTGTAAGTGTCCGCAAGACAGCCCTTTGCGGGTGATTACTGACGGCTGAGAAAAGAAAAGAGGAATCAGGCCTTACGCTGCTAGCATGCAATGTCCCCACTGACCATATCATACCTTCAATTTCCGGCTGCTGATGGGCTCTCTCCCCTCTCCCTTTGACCCCTTTCCCTTTCTCTTCCGCTCTCTCTTATATGTTAGGCTTTGCGCTAAAGAATCTCATTTTTTCCCCAGTACTTTGGGAGGCCAAGGTGGGCGGATCACCTGAAGTAAGGAGTTCAAGATGATCCTGGCCAACATGGTGAAACTCCATCTCTACCAAAAATACAAAAATTAGCTGGGCCTGGAGGCACACGCCTGTAGTCCCAGCTACTTGGGAGGCTGAGGCATGAGAATCGCTTGAACCCAGGAGGCAGAGCTTGCAGTGAGCTGAGATCACACCATTGCACTCCAGCCTGGGCAACAGAGTGAGACTCGGTCTCAAAAAAAAACTTCCTGCACTGGCGTTGCACCCACTGGCTGTCCACAGGACCTCCTCCAGCCTTGACTTCCCTCAGGAGGCCTGCATACTTCCAACCAATATCCAATCCTGCTGTCTGCCTCCGGAGCCACCCTTTATCCCCTCTGCCTCCCAGGCCACGTCCCCGCCGAGGCAGCCAGCTGCGACTTCCCTCTATCTCCCGCTAAGCTGCTTGTTTGAAAAGAAAGCAATTTCTAACCTACAGGTTATCCCTTTCATCCCCAACCCTGCCCCATGGCATCACAGAGCGAGGCTGATGGGTCTCCACAGAGGGGCTTCAGATGCCCACCTGAGCCTGCCTTCATCCAGCCTAAACGTCCTCTGTTGCTTTGGTTTGCCTCAGGCCCAAAGACATCTGGTTTTGGCCACTGTAGCCAGCCAGTGGCCACAGTGCCCCCTGCTGAACAGGTCTGCAAGATTCCTGGTTAGGTTCAAATAATAGGTGTAAACAACAGGTGCATAATGGCGATGCTGCAAGTCCCAACATCCCTCCTGTGAGCAACTGAACAATTATCCGGCCACCTGACTTCCCTGCTTCTAACCTCCGCATCCCACCTGACATCAATCCACTAAAGCCAGAGTAAGCTATGGAAGGCTTTAATCTGACTCAGACATTCTCCTCCTTCAAACAAACTCAAATTGAACTCACCCCTGGAAGGGCTCCCGCCACCTACAGGGTCTGGCTCAGGCAGTCAGTGAGCCCTGAGACCCGGACCCACCCACCTCTAGGGCTGCCTGCCTCCCACTGTGCTCCCTCACACTCTGTGGCTGACTGGAGTGGCAGTGGTCCCTCTTCACTGAGAGCAGCAAGTCTGTGACCAACTCCTCCTGCTCTGAGCTCCCCAGTTCCCCCACTATCCAACCATTATTGGTTTCCATGAAGGTCCCTGAGGGCCAAGCCAGAGCTTTTGGCAATGTGGTATCTGGCAATGTGGGTGGTGGGTACTGAGAAGGTTTGCTGAGTAAGTGTGAATAAATAAACGATGTGATGCTTTCACCACTTGCTAAAGAAATCTGTGTTGTTTTCACTGTAGAGTATTCGAAGTAGGGCAAAGATTTAACATGGTGAAGCACTTTCTTTTTGCATTTGTTAAAACAGGACTGTAAAGTGAGATGCATGCAGTGCACAGCTCTGAGGCCCAACAGCTCAGTGAAGCTTTACATAGGTCAGCACTCAGACCAGGACACAGTAACTGCCTCCACCCCAGGGGGTTCCCTGCTCCACTCCCACCCTCGCCGAGTCAATCAGAGGAAGATTTTCAATATGGCATGCAGTATATCTCAACTCTTTCAACAATCACTAGTCCCCCAACTTTCTCATGTTATTAAAAATAATAATAGCTAATGAGAAACAACAGGAGCTTCCTTTTAGAGCAAACTACTGGAGCACACCCATCTTGTTCAGAGAGGCGCCAAAACCTTCCTCTCCTCTCAGCTTCTCTTTAGTGCTCCTCGGCAGGTTGGCCTACACCGAGGACTGCCTGTTTACCTGCATGTCAGAGTTGGTGAAGCTGCAGGCCGACAGGTAGTTGGTGTGCATAGCAACAGACTTCTTTTTGGCAGCCATGTTTTCATTTTTGTCAAACGTCAAGGGGTACACAGAACACTTATTATCCAAACCACTAGGATGGAAAGAAAGAAGTACTGAAGATTAATGCAGAGTAACCGAACATGTGTCTGCTTTCCCAATCACATAAACTTTTCAATATATTTTCTTTAGCAGTATCACATATTGTAACCTTTCCTCCAACTTTTACTCTGAAGATTTTCTTTCTCCCCTTTTTTTTTTTTTTTAATAGAGACAGGGTCTCGCTACGTTGGCCAGGTTGGTTTTGAACTCTTAGCCTCAGGAAATCCTCCCTTGGCTTCCCAAAGTGCTGGGATTACAGGTGTGAGCCACTATGCCAGACCAGTTTGAAGATTTTCAAACCTACTGTAAAACTGAAAGAAAAATAGTATACTGAAGACCCAGATCCCTTCCCTTACATTCACAGACTTAACATTTTGTTATACCTGCAGGAGCAAATTCTGAATCATTTGACTGCAAACTGCAGATATGACGTTTTCCTTCTAAACACTTCCATTTGCAAATTTACATCTCCTAAAAATAAGAACATCCTCCTATCTATATACCACATCCTTAACACATTTGAGAAAAAGAACAAAACCTCCACAACATCATCTAATAAGCCAGTCATATTCAATCTTCCCCGACTGTCCCCAGGATCCAGGGACCCATCAAGGCTCACACATTGCATTCAGTTGTTATGTCTTTTTAAGATCTTTTATTCTCGAACAGACTCTGCCTACTGCTTGTTGTTCATGACAGGAAATCTTAGGTGTGCAGTTTACAGAATGTCGCATATGCTGGATTTGTCAGATGTTTTCTTAATGGTTAGATTCAAGTACTGTAGAACATTGTGGCAATAAGAATGTCAAGGTGCTACTGTGTACTTCTTTCCTACTGCTTCATGTCAGAAAGCTTGTCATGTCTCTTTCAAGATTGGTAAAATATTTAGGGGTGCAAAAGGGTAATTTATTTTGATAACTTTGGATAGTGTCTTCCATATTTAGTAGCTGGTCTTTTTCTGTAATGAAGAGTCTCCTCCCCAGCATCACCGTACACCCATCAATTTGTTTTTCTTCTTCACTGTATCATGATCCATTATTATCGTTACTACATTTGATGTTCAAATTACCCCAAATTTGGAGCTTCTTCAAGTCAGCTCCTGTTTTTTATACATATATATACATATAGATATATATTTATACATTTATTGTGTGTATATATCCATATATATGCATATATATTTTTCCTTACTGGTCCTTGACATTCCTTTATACTTTCTGGAACAAGAAAATAACCTAGGCTTACTTTATTCTTTTCCTGCCAAAGACCTAACTTCAGCCTTACCGTAAGGTGCCCTGCTTTTTTTTTGTAGGTAACAATATTTAAGATGGGGTCACTTTTTGTGGGGCAATGGGAAAGCCAAGGGTTCCTTTTGCTTTTCCAGCTGCTTGAGAGGTACATAGGTGTGTTCTTGGGTAGTTTCTTATTGGAATTCAGCTTTGTCAAACTTGTTTATAGAATGTGTGGAGGAGGCCGGGCATGGTAGCTCACACCTGTAATCCTAGCACTTTGGGAGGCTAAGGTGGGCAGATCACCTGAGGTCAGGAGTTCAACACCAGCCTGGCCAACATGACAAAACCCCATCTCTATTAAAAATACAAAAATTAGCCATGTGTGGTGGCATGTACCTGAAATCCCAGCTACTTGGGGGGATGAGGCAGGAGAATCGCTTGAACCTGGGAGCCAGAGGTTGCAGTGAGTCGAGATGGCACCACTGCACTCCAGGGTGACAGAGTAAGACTCTTTAACTCAAAACAAAACAAACAAACAAAAGAATGTGTGGAGGAGAATGATTTGCACTTAGGCTGTGGTAAGGGCCAAGCATGCCATGGACTATGATCCTCCCTGACCCCTGAGCTGGGATATGTCCTCCCCATCCTGAGTAATTTCTCTGTTGAGATACTTATTACTTAGGGCTATCTGCATTGCTATGAGAAGGAGGAAGGTTTTGCAGGGTGATGCATCCAGTGTTGAATCTCTGCTTTAGTACCTAACTAATGTTGTGATCTTGGTTACGTATTCATCTCTGAATTCTGTTATGACACCTGGCCCAGTGCCTTGCACACAGGAGCTTGCAGTAAGTATGTGATACCTGAATAAAAGCTTCTTGGGGATATGGCTCTTAAATAAGAAATACTTGTATAGATAATTAATTGACACGTTTTTGAGGGTAAGGGGATTGTGCCAGTACCATTTGGGTTAGCTTTCAAGTTTGGAAACACTGAGAGGGAGACCCAGGAGCCAGGTACACTGAGATAAAAATATCCCCATTATTACCTATGATGACATTTAGAGAATGTGGCATTGGTGTGGGTCTGTGTGATAAGAGAGTTGCAGGGATGTCACGCAGTCAAGGTTGGGAAACATTATGTCACATCTACCGCTAGATACTCAAGATTATTCACAGTTGCTCTTAGTAGTTTTGGGAAAGGTCTGGGAAGGGGACATGGTGCTTTTACCTGCGATGAGGAGTCAGTACCGGTTCAGTTTTTGATGCTGTCTCATCCACTGGACCCCCATATTTTGAAAAATGCCTTCACAGGTCGGGCACAGGGGCGCACAGTGGCTCACGCCTGTAATCTTAACACTTTGGGAGGCCGAGGTGGGCAGATCACAAGGGCAGGAGATTGAGACCATCCTGGCTAACACGGTGAAACCCCGTCTCTATTCAAAAACAAAAAATTAGCTGGGCATGGTGATGTACCTGTGGTCCCAGCTACTCGGGAGGCTGAGGCAGGAGAATGGCTTTAACCCAGGGGGTGGAGGTTGCAGTGAGCTGAGATCGTGCCACTGCACTCCGGCCTGAGTGACATAGCACAACTCCGTCCTAAAAAAAAAATGCCTTCACAATATTCATACCTTGAACTTCCTTTACTTTGGCTCTCATAACAGCCAGTGAGGCAGATGGGGAAGGTGCTACCACCTCCCACATGCCAGGGTAGGAAACAGAGATGACAAGATCAGGGCTCCAGCCATCCCTCCACTCTGAACTCCATTTCTGCACCAAGACAAGTCACCAGGAAGCTATCTACCTGGGCCTGGTAAGAATGTTGTCTTCCTTCCATCCCCCTGCCCTCATTGGAATTCTGCTGCTGCATTCCATTTAGTGAGGGTAAAAATAGATGCCACAGCATCATTTCCTAAACTACTGCTGAAGACACTGTTCACTGTAATCATATATGCTATATACTACAGAATGGCTACCCAACATATTCCTTCTCTAATTTAGAACTAGATATCTAATATTTCAATATTGGACACTGAGGGATTATGTAACACATCCAGCTCCATGCATTTGCTAAAATTAGGGCCCAATTAGAAACCTATTACCTTAGGATTTAAACAAATGTGGAGAACTTATGATTCCTACTGAGTAGTGAAGAAGTGACGGCAACAGTCTGGCTTTACTCTCAACTACTTGGAAGTGATCTCTGGGCCCCTGGAATGTCCTGCCTGGTAAGAGTGGCTTGGTTTGCTTGGGGGCTTTGGCTACCACTTTAATAATGTGATTTATGATGGGGGCTTTGGGATGTGTCATAACAGGTCTGATGTCCAGAGGAACTTGAGACTAAAGGTATCCGCTGACCTTCTAGCAAGACTGGAGAATAAAGGTGAACCACGCAGGCAGTGTGTGGTCAAGCCCCCATTAAAACCTCTGGACACCTAAGGCTCAGGGGAGCTTCCCCAGCTGGCAATACTCTGCATGTATTGTCACACATCGTGGCTAGCGGTAGCAGTGCCATCAGTCACTGCTCCAGGGAGGTGACGACTGGCAGCTCTGTGTCTAGATGCCTCCCGTTTCTGCCTCATGGGTCCCTTCCTTTGGCTGTTTCTAATTTGTATCTTTCCATTGTAATAAAACTATGGTAGTAAGTACTTTCATGAGTTTGGTGAGTTCTAGTGAATTCCTGAGGTTGTGGGGACCCACAAATTTGTAGCCAGAAAGCGGCAGTGCTGGAACTGTGCCTTCTAACTGTAGCTGGCTAAACTTCTTTGCACCAACCTTATAATTATGGCCTATTTCTCCCTTGCTTGCTTTCTCTAAATAAATAAATAGATACACACACACACACACACACACACACACACACACACAAATATGCATGTTTATATACATATATATCTGTCTTTTATTATAGCATCTCTTATCCTTTTAGGAAGTATACGGTAATAAATTTTATATAAATATTGGCATCTATCTGTAAAGTGGTGACACAATCCACTTTTGAGCTACTTTACAAATTAAAAAATATGGGCCAGGTGTAATGGCTCACACGTGCAATCCCAGCACTTTGGGAGGCCAAGGTGGGTGGATCACTTAAGGTGAGGAGTTTGAGATTACCCTGGCCAACATGGCAAAATCCCCTCTCTACTAAAAAAAAAAAATCAGCCAGTCACGTGGTGCATGCCTGTAGACTCAGCTACTCAGGAGGCTGAGGCAGGAGAACTGCTTGAACCAATGGGGCAGCGATTGCAGTGAGCCAAGATTGTGTCACTGCACTCCAGCCTAGGCAACAGAATGATACTCCATCTCAAAAAAGAAAAAAGTAAAATACACATATGTGAACATGGGCTCCAAAGGGACATGTGGTCTTGGTCACTGGAAGAAGAATGAGAAAATGTCCTCAAGGCAGCCACCCAAAGGGAGGGGACACTGGAGAAGATGGTTGGTGTAACTAGCTAGAGAGGGCTCCAAAATGTTTGCTTGGAGACTCCGGCTTTTCCTCTTTAAAACAAAATTCTTTCTTGCTGATTATAAAGAGAAAAATTCCCATAGTCCCCTCATCCAGAAAGAATTACTATTTTATTTGGTATAGCTCCTCCCAGCCTTTATAATATGCCTTTTTAAAACACGGCTGGTGGCAGAAATATTTTGAATGGTCTCAGAATTATTCAACGCAGATAGGAAATTATGTTGATTTCAGTTCTCATTGCCAACCCTGTTATACTGAGCTCCAGGAGAACAGAGAATAAGGCACACTCTTCCTAGTAATCTTAATGACTTTTTCACATAGAGTAATTGGGGATTTCCCTTTTTAATGGCTGTATGATATTCCATTGATTTCAAATACCACAATTCACTTAAGTTTTCTTTGATGGGAATGTTGTTTTTGTTTCCTTTTTTTTTTTTTTTTTTCGCTTTTATTTTTGAGACAGGGTCTCACTCTGTCACCCAGGATGGAGTGCAGTAGCATGATCACAGCTCACTGCAGCCTCAACCTCCCAGGCTCAAGCAGCTTCCAGAACAGCTAGGACTACAGGTGCATACCACCACATGCAGCTAATTAGAAACTTTTTTTTTTTTTTTTATAGAGACAAGATATTACTACATTGCCCAGGCTGGTCTCAAACTCCTGGGCTCAAGTGATCCTCCTGCCTCTGCCTCCCAAAGTCCTGGGATTACAAATGAGAGCACCATGCCTGGCATTTTTTTGCTTTATTTTTAAAAATACTACAATTAATGTCTTTGTCCATATGGCATTTCTACGTTTTGGATCTTTCTCTTCAAATGAGTTGCTGGATGTGGAGTCACCAGATGAAAGGCTATCAGCTTTTCAAGGCTTCTGATAGACATTACCAACCTGCTTTCCAAAACTGTTTTTAAAGTTTATAGCTCTGCCAAAAGCATTTGAAAGAGCAGGAGACAGGCCTGAAATGTAACTACTGTCAACTTGTGATGAAAATAATTATGAAAGAGAGTTTATGGTTCTTTTTTTTTTTTAAGAGATGGGGTCTTGCTATGTTGCCAGGCTGGACTTGAACTCCTGGGCTCAAGGGAGCCTCCCACCTCAGCCTCCCAAGGGGCTGGGATTACAACCAGGCACCACTGTGCTGGCTTATGGTTTCTTCTTTGACTAAGTTCAGGGAAGGATTTAGCATACTGCTTAACAAGTAAAAAACAAAAACTGTGAGTTCTTTGTTTACTTGTTTTTGCCAAGGGAACAGTATTTTATGGTTAACGCAAAATCTGAAAAGCTGCTGTGGCTCCAACTTACCCACAAGCAATGGCACATCCCGACGGGGCATAAGCACATGCCATCACCCACGTGCAGGGCATAGTGACCGCATGCTCCTGAAACATAGCACAGAGTGAACAACCAGCACTTCCACACAAAAATCTTTTTCTTTTTTTGAGACAGAGTCTTGCCCATTCTGGAGTACAGTGGCACCATCTAAACTCACTCCAACATTCGCCTCCCAGGTTCAAGCAATTCTCCTGCCTCATCTGCCTGAGTAGCTGGGGTTATAGACGTGTGCCACCATGCCCAGTTAATTTTTGTATTTTTTCAGTAGAGAAAGGGATTCACCATGTTGGCCAGGCTGCTCTCAAACTCCTGACCTCAAGTCATCCACTCGCCTAGGCCTCCCACAGTGCTGAGATTACAGGAATGAGCCCACAAGCCCAACCACAAAAATCTTAATGTCTAAATTTTAGAAAATAAAATCATCCGATTCCCACTGAATTACATTATAGTTTCAAAGGGAAGTGGTGTAGGGTAAAGATAGTCTCAAGACTTCTGAGGGGACTCTCATAATCAACTTTATGTCACATATTCTAAAAGTTAAAAAGCTCAACTAGCAAAAGCAAAACAAAACCAAAAAACCATTTATGTTTTACTTCCTTCTTAATGTTATACTCCCTTTGTTCTTCTGCTTAACAGGGCCCCTTTTCTTTGAAAGGTATGCCCAAATCTCCTTTCAGATATATACTTTTCCTTGTTTACTCTGATTTCCATTTTCAAAATATACTCTGGAATGACTTTTTATTTATGTACTGTCAGTTCGTTTACTTGTGAGTCTGCAAGAGCCTGTGTCCACCAAGCGTCCTAAGGCATCCCAGGGAAGGTATGAATGGGCAGGGGGAGGGGAGGGTAATCTTGGGTTATGCTCATGGATAAATGAGAACTGGTAAACTGGAAATATTAAGAACTAAGCATGACAGTCCCTGGCTCCTGGCTTCACAGAGGAAGCATGAGAACCACCGTGGCGCAAGTGGCTGGCCTGCATGCGGCTGCACATCTTGCTAGTGGTGGAACCAGGAGCAGGGTCCATATCTCCTGTGGGAATAAGACCTCAGGCTCAGAAGTGTGGGAAACATGGCTTTGTTGTTTGCACAGATCTGCAGGCAGGAGGATAGGGTGACTCAGCCAGCCAGCAGCCAGGGATGGACGCACTTAGTGTTTAATGCTTCCAATGTACATCCAAGTGCTGGTCTTCTTTTCAGATATAATTATACATGTTTTTGTGGGGAAACACAGGCCCCAATACTGTTTGCCCAAATCCTATTGTCAGTAACAGTCTTGCAGGCTTTCAGAGGCCAAGAATAATCTACTGCTCTCCAGAGAACGAGCTAAGGTAGCCACTTTTGGCAAAGAATATCCCAGGCCCCTTTCCTCACAAGTAATTCCCTGCCACAGGCCAGAAGTGGCACCCCTGGCTCTCCAGAAATCAGTCTGTGCTCTAAGCCATGATAAGGTGTAAAAAGAAGCAACTACACCCCCGCATAGTCCAGAAGATGCTGGGAAGTACTGTGAGAGACGGAGGCTTCCAAGGAGCTAGGCGCTGATAGCAAAGCCCTGTGCAAACGGTTAACTTGTCACTTTTATTATTCCCCAGGAGACTGACCATTAGGGACTCGACTCTACAAAATGGTTCTGGCCCCACGCTTGACCAGGTCATGTACCAGCTGCTTCCCATGACACTGACTAAACACATTCAACAATGCAGAATATGGTTGCTGTTCACTTTGTGACAGAGACAGGTCTCATGTTTTTACATAGCATAAAGGAAGATTTCCTTTCTAAATAAATATAGGAATTCATATTTATTTATTTACTTTTATTTTTAATTAATTAATTAATTATTTGGGCAGAGTCTCCTTCTGTCATCCAGGCTGGTGTGCAGTGGTGGGATCTTGGCTCACTGCAACCTCCACCTCCCGGGTTCAAGCAATTCTCCTGCCTCAGCCTCCTGAGTAGCTGGTACTACAGGTGCATGCCACCATGCCCAGCTAATTTGTTTGTATATTATTTAGTAGAGACAGGGTTTCACCACGTTGGCCAGGCTGGTCTCGAATGCCTGACCTTGTGATCCACCCGTCTCAGCCTCCCAAAGTACTGGGATTACAGGCATGAGCCCCTGTGCCCAGCCAGGAATTCATATTTAATACACAACTCTTTATTGTAAATGCCAATGCAATGCAGGTGTGCTGTGCCAGCATACCTGCACATAGGTTTTGGTCTTCATCTTTCGTTAAGAGCCAAAATTTAAATCTAAGTTGAGCTGTGCATGCCCAGCCCAGACTTGCAAAGGGTCAGCCTGCATCACTGGGCAGCTCTGCTCAATCCCATTGCAGCCTCATCTTTCCCACCCTCCATGTGTTCATTCCCACAGGGCTCTGGAGTCTGGTCAAACAGAGCGGAGAAAAAATAGAGAAATTTGGTGCCTCTTATCACTCAGAAGACAAATAATACATGCAGTTGCACATGTGGATGCAAGTTTTCCACGCTCTGCCCATTCCCATGTTAGTATTGACAGCCCCGATGATGGTTCTAAGGCTCCACTTGGAGCGAGAGGGGAATAAATGCTGCAATGGGCTGGCTGAGCTGTTCAAACATGGATGGGCCTTCTTGGAGTGTCCATCCCTAGAGGCAACTGCTTGCAGGGATACATGGAGAGAAATCCGTACAGGGACAGGCAGCTGGACCAGATTCTGGGATTCTGGCTGGGATTCTGAAGCGCCTAATGTGGCTGGGAACAATGCCTCACCTTGTTCGTGGTGAAGGAATCCCACACGATCACCTTCCCATCCTGGAGGGAGAAGAGCAAACAGTTCAGATTACTGCTGAGAATTCCTCATAAAAGCCGTGTCCAGCAGGGCAGTGTGAAATGGAAAGCCAGAATGAGGATCTGGATAATCAAGGCCCCCTAAGCTATCCATGAAATAAAGTGGAGTGAGTGTGGGAGGGGCTGGACATTCCAGCGGAGCCAAAGGATCAGTTCTCAACCTTGCATTCCTTGGAAAGACACAAATGCAGACAACAACACACAGACACTTCTCTCATGCCATTTATAAACTACACACAAACTGTTAGTATACTACCATCACCCGCCATACCCTAAATGTCAACAAATTATACAGGGGAAAGATAAAGCTGACATTACCTTCAGGTACCTGACAGGTAAATAATAAATCTTCTCCCACAACACCTCCACCACTTTGTCCTCTCCCCAATTTGCTTTGCAGTCCAGGGTCCCTGTGGCACCATCTAGGAACTCCCCTCTACATTCTCTGTCCATTTCTCCACCAGGGACAGCTGCAGAGGGGGCTGTGTGGGGCTGAGATCAGTCTAATTCCTCAGGTGCTCACAGATGTCACAGCTCCAGCTCTGACATTTCACAGCTACGCTGAGAACAATGTAAGATATGCACCTATCATGGTGGGAACCCCTGTGGGCAGCTGTTCGGTAAGCAAACAGCACTTACTGCCAGGATGAATGCAGGGCCAGCCCTGCCAGAGAGAATGCTGTCCCTTTCACTGTAACTCGGTTTCAGCCTCCCATGGGTGTGGGTTGTGACTACAGCATCATCTATTCATAATGAAATTCCATAAGAGGTAAATCTATGTGAACTCTGGTCCCTGCAAAGCAGCCCTCTGTCCAGACTGTGGCATGCAGGTTGCTGGGCAGACAGTGGAAAACGACAGGATCTTCAGGGATGGGAAATCTACAGCCTCTTTGGCAGGCTTGATTTTTTAATCACTCAAGCCATTTCGGGCCAAATTTTGGTGAATGTGGCAGAGATAAGGATGGAAAAACACCACTTAAGGGCAGAAGCAAGGTCGGATCTGAAGTGACATAGCCGCTTGCTTTGCATGATCTGATGGAAGATTTCTGTGTTAACACCGTGCGTGGCAGATGGATCCTGAAGCAAGGTCAAAGTTGGTGGTTCGGGGGGCTTTTGAGATTCCAAAACACACTGATTCTTCTGGTCTAATTTCTGCCTAAACAGCCACATACAATGTGTAGGGCGGATTCGGTAAGCCTTTAGCGTAGAAACTGGAGTGGGGCCACACGCCTGTACCATGGGGTCCTCCGCACCTGGAGCCCCTGATGGCTGGGGACTGGTTCCATGCATTGCCTACATCAACAACCATGTTAGGGGCTTCTTCCACCCCACTGCCTGCCTGTCCCCTCATGTGCGCTCTGGACTGCCTGTGTGTGCCGCCCACTGTGTGCTCTGGAGTCTCATTAAACTAAGTGTAATCTCCTTGGTGAGCACAGACTTATGTGCAGGGGCCTATTTACCCAAAGAGAATGTGCCTCTATCCCCCGAGCCCTAATCCAACATGGCTGGGGTGATTACTCTCCTGCATCTAAGCGGGAGGACCACTGATGAGCCCAAGTCTGTTCCAGAGACTTCCTGCTTTCCAGCCTCTTCCCCACACCCACATTGACCTCTTCCTGCTCTGGCTCAGAACAGGGCATCTCCAGACCTGCTGAAGGTCCTCCCTCCCAACAGCAGTATGTGAGCGACAGAAAACCCAACACAGCCTTACCTTGTCAGGATTTAAGAAGTCAAAAGGCTAGAGAGCAACATGGATATCCTAATAAGCACCTTGTTAAGAATAAGCTCTTGAAAAGAAAAAGACTAGAAAGAAGTGCTCTAAAATAATAATGGGCAAGGCAAGGTAGCTCACATCGATAATCCCAGTGCTTTGAGAGGCTGAGGCAGGAAGATTACTCAAGCCTGGGAGGTCAAAGCTGAAGTGAGCTGCACTCCAGCCTGGGTGACAGAGCGAGATCTCATCTTGAGAAAACAAAAAAGAAAAAGAAAAAGAGAAAGGAAAAAAAATGGTTGTGACAGGATGGTGGGAGTAAAAGCTTTTTATCTGTTTTATTGTCCAGTGTTTTCATAACATGGTAGAGTACGTAAGTGATAAATTAATTTTTACCTTAATAAAAAAAGCAAGTGCAATGTGACATACTAGATTTGTAGGTAATCCAGTAATAACATTTGTCTTATCAAACACAAAACTAACACAGACGTTTCAGCTGTGGATTATCTAGAGTATATCCGGTTTTACAAGGGTTATAAAAAAAACCAAACCAACCTGCTTTTGGAAAAACTGAGGGGTTGGGAGAAACCTATGCTGATCATAAAAATATGATTTATAGAATCTCTCTCTCTTTTTTTTTTTTTTTTTTTTTTGAGATGGAGTCTCACTCTGTTGCCCAGGCTGGAGTGCAGTGGCTCAATTTCAGCTCACTGTAACCTCTGCCTCCCAGGTTCAAGCAATTCTCCTGCCTCAGCTTCGTGAGTAGCTGGGATTATAGGCACTTGCCACCACACCTGGCTAATTTTTGTATTTTTAGCAGAGATGGGGTTCACCATGTTGCCCAGGTTGATCTTGAACTCCTAACCTCAGGTGATCCACATACCTCAGGTGATCCACAAGCCTGAGGCTCCCAAAGTTCTGGTATTACAGGTATGAACCACCACGCTCAGCTGAATCTCTCTTTTTTTTGAGACACGGTCTCACTGTGTTACCCAGGCTGGAGGGCAGTGGCATCATCTCAGGTCAATGCAGCCTTGACCTCCTACACCCAAATGATGCTCCTACCTCAGCCTTCCAAGTAGCTGGCACACATCACCATGCCCAGCTAATTTTTTATTTCTATTTTTGTAGAGACGAGGTCTCACCATATTGCCCAGGATGGTCTTGAACTCCTGGACTCAAGTGATCCTCCCACCTTGGCCTCCCAAAGTTCTGGGGTTATAGGCATGAACCACCATAACCAGCCTACAGAATATCTGCTGTGACTTCAGCTTACAGCTTTATGTTCAATACACGTTACATAAAGAGACATCAAAAGTACTAAGCTGTGAGATCCAGACTCCAAGAGAGTCCCAGATCATTCCAGCCTCTTGACAGTCACACTTTTCTATATAGTCTCTTTCCTCTTTATATCAGGGTTGTTCTATGTGACCAACAGAATATAACAAAAGCAATGGGTTGTCACCTCCGAGGCCAGGTCATGAAATATGGCATGGCTCTGCTTCTGCCCACTCTTGTGGATCGCTTGCTCTGGAAGAGGCCAGGTACCATGTTGTGAGCAAGTCCAGTGGTGAGGAACTGAGGCCTCCAGCCAAGAGCCATGTGAACAAGGCACCCTGGAAGTCAGTCTCCACCTTAGTCCAGCTGTCGGACAACCGTGGCCCGAATCAGCATCTTCACACAACCTCACAAACCACCTGAGCCTGAACAAGCAACTGGAGGCACTCCCAGATGCCTGACTCTCAGAAACCATGCAAGACCATTCAACGCTAAATTTTGATTTTTTTGGAGTGATAACTAATATATAAGATATAAAATAAACTGTGTAAAAGATATGATTTTAAAAATTGTTATTTTACAAGATATGTATCTTGGGTTTTTTTTTTTTTTTGAGACAGAGTTTCACTCTTGTTGCTCAGGCTCGAATGCAATGGGGTGATCTTGGCTCACCGCAACCTCTCCCTCCGGGTTCAAGCAATTCTTCTGCCTCAGCATCTCAAGTAGCTGGGATTACAGGCATGTGTCACCATGCCTGGCTAATTTTGTATTATTACTAGAGATGGTGTTTCTTCATGTTGCTCAGGCTGGTCTTGAATTCCTGACCTCAGGTGATCCACCCACCTCGGCCTTCCAAAGTGCTGGGATTACAGGCGTGAGTCACTGTGCCAGGCCCAAGATGTGTATCTTAACATTGTCCTTTAAGACATAAGAATTGCTAAACTCCTTAAAGTGAAAGAAAGTCATTGATGGAATCTTATGCCCTCAATTTGGGGGAAAAAAAACAACTATTTTAAATGGTTTTATTTACAAATAAGACTTAGAAATTATTTTCAAAGGAAGAAATTATTTTCAATGGCTCATCATATTAAATATAGTCTACACTGTTTCAACTATTACAAACTTCAAATCTACCCAAATTAGTGAAGTTCTACAGTATGCAAGAGAATTCTTTATGCTAAGTCACATCCTTTGGAGAATGAGCAAAGTCACAAAGATCAGAAAAGGGCTTTTGGAAAGGGACAGCTCTCCTCCCCCTTAGCTATAAAATCCAAAACTGGCTCACCTGTTATGCAGCAGGTGCGACATACCTGTGACGAGCTCACAATCCTCCTTTTATCCTTGCACCAGTCCATGCAAAGGACTTTGTTCCCATGGCCTTTGAGGGTCCTTCTGGTCTTCATGACAAACTGTCCCAGGGCCTCCACCCGCTCTGCCACCTGGTGCACTGGAAGGACAAGGCCATAGTCAGTCCCCTTGCTATGGACCAGGTTCTGAGCTTTCAGCTGGCACAGCACAGGCACGGGATCTGCAGAGGGAGGCAGCCCCATGGGTTTCCTCCACAACAAGACCCAGTGTGATTCTCTGATTCATCACAATTACATCCTAGTAGTACTCCTTCTTTTAAGATCAGTAGAGGGTAGAGACAACACTGCCATTCTCTCTTTGTGTTTAAGACTGTATATTTTTCAAAGCACTTTTATCTATACATGTTGAGGGATTAACAAGAAGACTGAATATTCGTAAAGTGCTACATAAAATTCTTCCATTTAAGGCCCTGGCTCCGAGAGGAGGGCAGGACAGGCAACAGAATGAGACTGCTATGCCCATCTAGCAGGTGAGGAAACTGAAACTCACAGAGGTTATTTGGCTAAGACAAGTTCATACAACCGACAGTGAACCAGCCTGGGGCTTCTGGTTCTCCTGCCTACCACTCTCTCATCACAAGGAAAACTGACTTTACAAAACTGTCCCATCAGGGCTATAAGGTATACCCCGAGGCTTCAGAGCTGACTGTGTCTAGCTGCCCCTCTGTGCCTAGCACTGACCTGGACATGGCACGTGCCTCATACACCTGCCACAGGAAAGAACGAACCAGCGAACTGCCAAGCACGCTGTCTCCAAACTGCACACCTGTGAGTTTACTGAAAAACTTAGTGTCCACGGAGATCAATGCAACATCCTAAAAGTCTGAACACATGATCCACTCATAGCACCACCTATACCAGAAAGGAGATCCAAAAGTTAGTCTCTCAGGGCTGGGACTACACTTCTTTCCTGCGGCCAAGGGAGAGCTTTCTAGGGGCTTGTAGAGAGGGTGAGCCTGATGAGTCTGAGAGGGACAAGTTTGTAGGAAGTGGCTGGAAAGCTACAAAGGCCAGCTGGTCCAGGCCCTTTATCATGCTGGGGAGGATGCTGAGGTCTGCAGGAATCCAATGGCCAGCCCCACTTTTCTCTCTTGTTGATGGCTGTGGAGTTGAGAAGGAGAAGCCAGAGCTCTGAACTCTCCATCTACATCTCCTTCTTTACCTCAGCTGGCCTTTCTCCAGGCAGGTGGTGAGGAGGGAAAAGGGCATTGTCAGAGGGAACAGCCTAGGCAAACGGACAGAGGAACAGGGTAGGAAGAGGCAAGGCAGCTGCCCCTCATGTCTTCCCAGGGAGCTGCCAAGGCTTGATGTGTCCGTGGAGCACTTCCCTTCAAAACAGGAAGCCTGCGCTGAGAGGGGCCGACTCTGTGGTCTGGGTCCTATGACAGCAGAGTCCCTTCCTGGGAAATCTTTCCTCCTATCCTTCCTTCCCCAAAACGCCTCAGTGTATATGTCCTAAAAACAAAGAACTCTTAAATAACCAAAGCGTAATGATCAAAATTAGACTATTAATGCTGAAACAACACTAATCTACAGACTTATTGAGATACTGCCTATTGTCCAAATAATAGCCTTCACAGCAAAAGAAAATCGTGGTCATAGGTTGCATTCAGTTGCTATGTTTTTTAAGCCTCCAGTTATTTGGTTCCTTCTTGTAATATGGTCTGACACTTCCTTGAGATTAGTTTGGGTAAATCTTGTTTGGCAGGGACAAAGAGATGTGGTGCTGAGCTAATGTCACTGCACCCTGCCTGAGCACATGAGTCCCACTGCTGGTGGGGTCACCGGGGATCATCTGGTTAAGATGGCACCTGCCAGGTCTCTCCACTGGCGAGTTACCATTTTATCTTTTGCAATGAAAAGTGTCTTGCTGGGGAGGTACTCTGAGACTACATAAACATTGCGCTACCCCTCAAACCTCAACAGCCTTATTTTAATACCACTAATAATTCTGGCCTGGACAAGTTACTGTGATGATGGCTGGCAAGTGGCGATGTTTCTCAGTCTATCCTTCCCTCTGCATTCATTAGTTGACTTTCTAAGGAGTTTTGCCTCCTCTCCCAGTTATTTATTCCTTCATTTACATTAGCAGGGACTCATGGGTTCTTACTTTATTCAAGAGGTTGTCATGCATTAATAATACTATTGACTTTGATCTTCCAATTGTCCCAGATGACGGAGAGCTCCATCAAGCAGGCTCCTGTGACCTTCTGACGTGTCTCCTCACAGCGTGAGCACTTCTCAATCCAAGCTTCCATTGTTCTTTCCCTGTCCTTACCCTAAAATCAGCCACTTCTCCAAGAAGTTTTAGTTCCTTTTAGTTGCCTCATTTCTTTGTGCTAAAAGAGCAAAGTTGAGAATGGGCTAAAAATCTTTGTGAAAACCCAAACTGTAAAAATAACTTGCTAAACTAGGCCAGGTGCAGTGGCTCACGCATGTAAACCCAGCACTTCAGGAGGCCACGGTGGGTGGATTGCTGGAGCTCAGAAGTCTGAGACCAGCCTGGGCAACATGGTAAAAACCTTGTCTCTACCAAAAATACAAAAACTTGGCTGGGTGTGGTGGCATGCGTCTGATCCCAGCCACTTGGGTGGCCAAGGTGGGAGAACTGCTTAAGCCTGGGGGCAGAGGTTGCAGGGAGCCGAGATCACACCACTGCACTCCAGCCTGGGTGACAGAGCCAGAACCTGTCTCAAAACACCACCACCAACAACAAAAAACCCAAAAAAAACCTTGCTAAACTATGAAGTGCTACACGAATGTTCAATTATTATGCTATTGCTTCTGCTAAAACACCGCATTATTGAATACCACAAACAGCACATTCGTCTTTTACAGATACATTCTTTACAAAATACATCAAATGAGGTTTAAAAAAATATTGAATTTTTCAAATTCTTATAGGCCTTTTAAATAAGGTCCTATCGACTCAGAGTTGTGAGCATATTTTATTTAGCATTTTACTTTGAAATTTTACATCAATATTATCGTTGCTTCCCCTAATTCAGCACTAGGATAGCCATAGCTTTTTGATAATTTCCCTTTTAATAAAGAAGATGATTCACCCAACCAAAATAGGGCCCTCCTTACATAATGAGAATATAAATAGATCCCAACTATTAATTATTTTTTCTCACTACATTTTTTCTTCCCACATGTAGATCACTGCCAACCCACTCCATCCTGTTTCTATCTGCCAAATTTTGCATCCATTGAATCAAAAAAAAATTAAAAATTAAATATTAGGAAATAAAAAAAAAAAGACTGGAAATGAGCTGAATATGTGTTGGGTATTACTTGCGGGAGCCTGGTTCAGGGCAGATGTGGTTTTTCCTTTGTCTTCTGGAGGACCATTCCTCCAGGATTTAACTTTTTTTTTTTTAAATGTTGAATATAACCAGCTGGTTTCTATAATAAGAATTTGCTAGAATATAATGGCAACCTGTTAAGAAATTCCAGTGCTTCAGGAAGACAGGAGTGCTGTCTGGTCTGATCTTCTTTAGAGGCAAAGCTTTAGAGGCAAAACTGCTTTAAGAGCAAAGCAGTTAAGAATTCAGGCCCTGGGCTGGGCACAGTGGCTCACGTCTGTAATCCCAGCACTTTGGGAGGCTGAGGTGGGCGGATCACAAGGTCAAGAGATCGAGACCATCCTGGCCAACATAATGAAACCCTGTCTCTACTAAAAATACAAAAATTAGCCAGGCATGGTGGCACGCGACTGTGGTCCCAGCTACTTGGGAGGCTGAGGCAGAAGAATCGCTTGAACCCAGGAGGCAGACGTTGCAGTGAGCCGAGGTTATGCCACTGCACTCCAGCCTGGTGGCAGAGCAAGACTCCATCTCAAAAAAAAAAAAAAAAAAAAAAATTCAGGCCCTGGCCTAGGAGCCTTGGGTCAAAGCCTGGCTCCGCCACACAATGGCTACACAACCTCGGCCACATCATGTACTTTCTCGCCACCTCTCTTCCCTTGTGGGGTTGTGGGGTCAACTATTCAAGCCTGGCACGAAGAGAACACTTCATAAGGGTTGGCTATGACATTCTCCAGGCTGGCATACAGTGAGCACCCAGTAATATTTACTGAAGGAATAAATGGAATGCTTAAATTTCAATCAACTGTAGCAATCCTACGCAGCAATTTTTGGTGGGTCAATGCAACGATCAAGCCTCTTTCCCTTCTTTTTCTGTACCTCTCCCTATCTCTAATCCATCATCCCTACTTCAGCAGTCAAGCAACTCACCAATTTCACAGGGCACACTCACTAGCACTGGGAGTGGGAGACACACAAATGGTCTCAGACCTATTTTCTGACCCAAGGAGCTCACCAGCCTTTTTATTAAAAAGTTCCTTTTTTCCACCCCCCTCCTGGCCTTATCCTGTCCCCTGAGCAATTTGGATTTGGTCTTTAGCATGCACAAACCTTACACCATTTAGAAACAGCTCAAACCCTTTCCTAGTTCATTCCAGTTCAGTCTGTGCCAGCCTCTGGGACCACCCACGTATCTGAGTCAGTCCCTGCCCTCACTACAGTTCAGAGTCAGGGGAAGAGATGGAGCCGTAAGGATGATTTCAATACAATATGGGACTTGCTAAGCTAGATGCGTGGACATAGGAAGCTTCGGTCCCAGAGGATGGGGCACTGCACCGGGCTTGTTGGGGTGGGATCTGAGCTCCGTCTAAAGGATCAGATGAGTTAGATGAGAGGGGGTCCTAGGTGGGTACTCTAAGCTGAGGAAATGGCAAAAGCAAAGGCCCAACAATAATACTGATGTAAAAGTTTTTACATCAATTTTTTTTAGTGGTGGAATAAACAACTTGATTGCAGAGTGAGGGGTTGGTGCAGGCAAGTAATGACACCGTACACCTGCAACACAACTCATTTATTCCACTGTGACAGCAGCCTGCTAATCAGAGGTGTGGCATGGTCGAATCTGCCTTCTCATGACTATCTGTGGCTGCAGCATTGGAGAACAGCGTTGACAGAGACAACACCAGAAGAGGGAAACCAGGGAAGAGACTCCTCTTCTTTGGCAGGCCCCTCTCCAGCAGACACACCATCTGCTGCACCACCCTTCTCTGTGG